CTTCTTCCATGTGGGCTTTGTTGCTTCTGAGCTTGATGGCCGCTTGATTACCTTCAAGCCTTTAAGACCCCAGACGCTATACTTTGTGATAGCCGGGCACCATCAGCTTTCTTCGCCACATTTGCTTATGCACCCATTTGTCTTCAGTGATCCGTTGAACACCCCGTGATCACACAGGTTGATATGTTGTTCCATGTGGGCTTTGTTGCTTCTGAGCTAGATGGCAGGGCCTAGTTTTAATCAATGGATTGTAAATATGGTAACGAAAGCATGAGCAGTCAAAAACAAAACAGATAAATTGGACTTTATAAGAAAAAAAAAAAGAGAGAGAGAGAGAGAGAAGTGGACTCAAACAGACATTTCACCAAAAAGGATACTCAAATAGTCAACAACCACATGAAAAGATACTCAATCTCTGGAGAGCAAATGTTTTGAGAATGATGAGGGCAATGAATGTACACATGTGCTTTACACAATTGATTTATGTATGGATTATGATGAGTTGTATGAGCCCCTAATAAAATGATAAAAAAAAATAACACGAAAAGATACTCAATCTCATTCATTACCTATTAGAAAGATACGAATCAAAGCCACAATGAGACTTTGGCTCTAGACAGTAAACTAGGACGGCTATCTATGACTGCTATGAACTGAAAATGACTGGATGGATGGAACACAAGTAGAGGATGGGTGAGGTAAAAAAATGAAAAGTTTGGAAAAACTTAAACCATTGTCCATTGCTGATGGGATTGTAAAATGGTAAAGGTGCTATGGAAAAATTGGGCATTTCTTCAGAAAGTTCAAGGGAAAACTGTGATGTGACCCAGCTATTCCCCTCCTAGGTATACACTGAAGAGACTTGAAAGCAGTGATAAAAATACACATGCGCACATCAATCTTCATCCCAACACTGTTCTCAATGGCCAAAAGGTACAAACAACCTAAAAATCAATGGATGAAGGGATAAACAAAATGCAGTAAATACATGCAATAGAATACTATTTAACCATAAAGAGAACTGAAGTCCTAATAAACGAACCTCCCCAAAAATAACCCAGAAAAATAATTTTCAAAGCTATATATTTAAATTTTTAAACAAAATATCCTTATCATTTTTAAAGTACTCTCCATTACACTTAACACAGCGGTTCTCAACCTGTGGGTTGCAACTCCTTTGGGGGGTCCAATGACTGTTTCACAGGGGTTGCCCAATTCTTAACAGTAGCAAAATTAGTTATATTAATTTCATGGCGGGGGGGGGGGTCACCACAACATGAGGAACTGTATTAAAGAGTCGTAGTGTTAGGAAGGTTGAGAACCACTAACAACATATTTGTCAAGTCTGTGATTCCATTCTTGGAAACATTTTTCAAACTCATCTGTTTGGATGGTTGACAGCACTTCCCTCTTATTTTTCTTCACCTCTTCTATGTCATCAAATCATTGTCCTTTCATGTCCCTCTTCATTCGTAGAAACAGAAAGAAGTTGCATGGAGTGAGGTCAGGTGAGTCAGGTGCATGGGGCAAGAGAGGTATGCTGTTTTTTTGTTTTTGTTTTTTGCCAAAAACTGGTGCACTGATATGGCTGCATGAGCAGGTGGCTCACCAGTTCCTGGTATACCACAAATCAGGCCTTTTTATCGTACTGTTACACTATCTTCTCAATACCTAACACACTATAAATATACTTCAAGCTGACATTTTTGTCTGTTAGCAAGTTCATGGACATACAGAATGAGGTTTGTGATCAATCAACATTTCACCTTTTTTTAAAATGAGAAAAACACTCATACACTTGAGTTTTTCCCATAGCACTGTTCTTGTAAGCTGTGTTCAACATCACAACAGTTTTTGTGACATTTTTCCCTGAGCAGGAAACAAAATTTCATAGCTGCAAGCTGTTCTCTTAAATCAGCCATCACAAAAAATGAGGCTCGAGAGAAACTGCTTTCATGAAAAAATTCACTTTGACCAGAGAGAACCTTCCCAGGCAACGCTATCTGATGCACTAACTCAAAGAAAATGAATAACAGGAAAAATGAATATTATGAATGCTCCGCCCAGCAAAGTTTTCCGGTTTGTTTTTTTTGGGGGTAACCCCTCATATGCTGTAACATGGATGAACCTTGAAAACATTATGCTGAATGAACTAAATCAATCCACAAAAGGACAATACTATATGATCTCACTTACATGAAATAACAACAGGAAAATGCATACAGACCAAAAACTTATTGGGTTAAGTGGAGAACCAAGGAGATAACAGGAGTGGAAGGGGGACAGAGGTAGTCATTATATAAAAAGCAGTTGAGTTTGGCAAGCCCTGTCCTGCCTGATGGGGGGAGGGAGGAAGAGGTGGGGGCTTCCCTAGTGGCATAGTAGCTACGGTAGGGTTGCTAACCATGAGGCCAGCAGTTTGAAACTACCAGCCACTAATTCTCTTGCTCTGGTAAAGAGTTAGTGTCAGAAACCAAAAGGGGCAGTACTACCCTGCCCTATAGGGTTGAAATGAGTTGGAATCTAATGAAAGACACTGAGTTTGGCTTTTAGGGGCTACCACAGGTCAGCAGCTTGAAATCACCAGTGGCTCTATGGAAGAAAGAGGCTTTCTACTCCTGTAAAGATGTTCCACCTTGGAAGCTCACAGGAGCAGTTCTATTCTGCCCTATAGGATTGCTATGAGTTGGAATTAACTTGATGGCAGAGGGAAAAAAAAGGGGGGGAGTAATGATTGTACAGCATGCTTAAGGTAACTGGTACTAAACTTGCATACCTGGAAAACGCTTTAAAAAATAATATTCTACTGCTTGATAGAGGTACTAGCATAAAACATTAGTTATTTATATTGTTTCAAGTTAAGAAAAAAGGGAACAAAAATGTTTGCTTCAGCTGTTTTTTTTTTTTTTTCACTTACATAATTTTATTGGGGGCTGTTACAGCTCTTGTAGGAATCCATACACCATTTGTATCAAACACATTTGTACATATGTTGCCATCATCATTTTCAAAATGTTTTCTTTCTTTCTGCTAGTCCTTGGTATCAGCTTTTTTCCTCCCCGCCCCCCATGAACCCCGATAAATTATAAATTATTATCTTACACCATCGCTATCTCCCTTTGCCCATGTTTCTATTGTTCGCCCCCCTGGACGGGGTGGGGGTGGGGGGAAGTTAAACATCAATCACTATAGTTGGTTCCCAGTCTCTCCCCCTACCTTCAAGGTATCACTCTTCCCATTACTGTTGAGGGGTTTATCTGTCCTGGATTCTGTGTGTTGAGGGCTCTTATCTATACCAGTGTACATGTTCTGGTCTAGCTGGATTTGTAAGGTAGAACTGGGGTCATGACGGGGGTGGAGGAAGCATTAAAGAACTAGAGGAATGTTGTGTGTTCCATGGGTGCTATGAAAACATTAGTTATTTGTATTGTTTCAAATTAAGAAAAATGGGAACATTTCAGCTGGCTTTAACCTCTTTGAAAGTTTAATTTTAAATAGGCCATTCTCTGAAATCCCTTTCTTGTATATACTTGCTATGGCACTTAATCCCATATGTGAGGGGACTTCAAAAGTTTGCTTTAAAAAATTCCATTATCTTTTACTTCTATTTTTTCATGAATTTTTGGAAGCCTATAAAGGTATTATTTGATCAACTGCTTATGTGAAGATAAGGCCTTATTAAGTATTTTAACTAACTAACTAACTAACTAACTAACTAACTAACTAACTAACTAACTGCCAATTAAATAATAGGGCAAAATATTTACTTGATCACTGTCAGGTTCGGTCTTGATTTCATCCGTCCGCAGTAGCTGTGTAGTCACTGCCTTGTCCAAGTCATCATCCGACCCTGGTTCTTTCATAGTATCTGATACAGAGGAACCCAGATCCAAGCAGAAAAGTGGGTTCCTTCCAGACTTCTAAAACACAACATAAGCGGAATTAATGTCAGATTTAAAAATGAATTTTTATGCATTTCCCTCAAACACCCCCCGGTCAACTTTAAGGCAAATGACAGACCTGTAAAGTGAGGTTGATTCAGAAGACCAGGGTTGTATGCACTCATTAGACCAGCTAACCAGAAGAGATCAAAAGGGAAGAATATGCTCGGGGACCAAGTTCAACAAGCAGGAAAGGAAGGGAGGAAAGAAGGGCAAATGAAAACCCTAACACCACAGGGAGGAAGGAAGTGGGAAGTGTGTTACAATGTCTGGACTGCACTCAATGTCCTGAGTCAAAATATGTACAAATGGTTGAACAGAAAACCAGCTTGCTCTGTGAACGTCCCCCAACTCACAGTCAACAGGAAAAGCAGTCACAAGGTAAAGTTCAGCCCTGGTAGAGAAGGTCGAATGACTGCATTGGAATCTGGCGTTAGACAGCTTTTCTTCTGATTTCAGTGGAGCTCTTGCCCAAGTGAAAAAAGTAACAATTAGGTTTTTAAAAATTACATATGTAGTTACTTTTAAACATAATTGCTCAGGAATAACAAAAGGGTCCTTAGACAGCTCAGTCTCAAGGTTCCTTCAGGGAGTGAACACTTGTTTCCTCCATCCATTATTCCTCAGGACAGGGGCACTTTGGTGGTTGAAGTTACCTCCTCCCAAATTCGTGTTCAAACACCGAAAACTTCAAGAACTGAGCATACATTATTTTTCTCATAAGAAATCATGTAAAACCAAGTAATTGGGTCTGAGGTCGCAAAATTACACTTAATTTTTACAGGATTTTAAGTCACTATGGAGGCTTTCAGCCTTCTTGCATTTTACTATCTCAGATATGCTACTGTCATCAAGCTGTTTGTTTTGTTCAAATTAACAGTAACTTTTCAGCCTCTTGATGTTTTGTTAACAATTTCACAACATTCACTACATTAGCGGCTTTAATCATATTTGCCCCCAAAATGTTGATGTCAACTTAACTCACTGCCAACCAGTCAATGCTGACTCACAATGACCCTACAGGATAGGATAGAACTGCTCCTGTGGCTTTCCAAGCCTGTAATTCTTACTAGAGTAGAAAGTCCTTTCTCTGGCAGACCAGTTGGTGATTTTGAACTGTTGACCTTGCAGATCACAGCCCAACATGTAACCCTACACTACCAGAGCTGCTAAAGACTTAGCTATGTTGTGTTCTGCCGACAAATCAGGTAAGTGGTAACCTGATTCAAATTTCCCAACAATTTCTTTAACTCCATTGTGGTTCTGAGTTTTCCTCTTAGCTTTACTGTTGGCATCACTAACTTTCTATGGAGTCATAGTTAAGACACTGTATGCAAATAAAGTGGGGTGGGGGTGGAGTGGGGGATGGGAAGCACAATGACAAATGATTTAATACCCTAACACAAGTACTATATGTTGTGTGTGGGAGAGCAGCACTTAAATATGCAGAGTGAGCTGCAGCCCATGACCCACTCTTGGCCGGTACAGGTTTTTTCAAGTTGGATTTTCAGTCCGACTATCAAGCAAAGTTAGGAACACCCAGCAGACTTTTTATTTGAACTTTGTTCAAATAGTGGAAAGTTGGAGCGTGGAGCCATTCGACAATCGAGTTATCACTGCATATCGTATTGCTTTCTGCTTTTCTGAGAGCTCTCTGCTTCCCTCTGGGACTAGTCTTCTCCATCACAGGAGATTCTGGTATTTCAGAGGTAGAATTCTTGCCTTTTACGGAGCACACTTGTTTGGATTCCTGACCAATGTATTTCAGGTACAGACACCATCCTTCCATCAGGGGAGCTGCTGAACAGAGATCCTTTAGGCCAAAGCAAACTTGGGAAAAGGCCAGGCAATCTACTTCTGAAAGTCAGCAATAAAAAGCCTTATCACACACACAAAAAAAAGCCTTATCACTTATCACACTGGTCCATTCATGGATGGTGTAGACTGGGCACAGTGTTTCATTCTGTTGCACAAGGTAAGTTGGAGGCTGACATGAGAGCAGCCAAAAATGAAACCGGCCTGGCTGTAGCACAAGAGAACCAAATGCAAATGTTTATTTTTAATTTAATAATGCTAGCACCAGTTATCTGTATCTCACTACCCCTCACTGCCTCTCCCCCCCAACACACAGAGCCAGCTATCTTGTCAGTGTTGTCAACTTCTCTTTTGGTTTCTTACAGGTTCGCATCATTTAGATATACTCACCGTGTATTTAAACTTCTAAAGCACTACTTCCTCTCTGATCATTCCTTCCTAGGATCCCGGATCTTCCAAGCCAAACCCAAATCCATTGAGTTGCTTTTGGGCCTCATAGCAACCCTAATGCCCTCTAGGGTTTCCAAGGCTCTAATCTTTATGGAAGCAGACCGCCTCATAGTTCTCATGTAACACAGCTGGTGTTCAAATGACTGACCTTCTAGTTAACAACCAAGCGCTTAACTACTGCACACCCTTCTTAACTACTTAACTTCTTAACTACTGCACCGCTCCTTCCAAGACCTATTTTTCCTCTAACTTACTTTGTCTTTTTCACAAACATCCATTTCATTTGCTGTCCAAATATTTGTGTTTTTCCAACACAAAATTTCCCCAAACTCTTCTCACTTGCACTACGGGATCCACCTTGGACTCAGATATTACCGTTTCCCCGAAAATAAGATTGTCTTATATTAATTTTTGCTCCCAAAGATGTGCTAGGTCTTATTTTCAGGGGATATCTTATTTTTTCCAAGAAGAATATGGTACACATTTATTGTTGAACAACAAAAAAAAGGAAATTTATTACCTGTATACGGTACAGTAGTTGTCATCACAAACCAGCATAACCAGACAAACTGAATCCTACAGTATCAAGAATTTCTTGTTACTACCATTATTTCCATGTATAACAATCTATGGTACATTTACTCATTATCTATGGTATATTTACTCACACTTCCTATCTGCTCCGGCTGCACTGCAGCCAACAGTGAACTGCGAGGAGGCGCCTGCCGCTATGGTCCAGAGTTATGATAGCTTCGGGGGGCCTTATGTTTGGGGAGGTCTTATTTTCGGGGGTGCCTTCTATTTCAGCGAGAGGCAAAACTGTAAGTAGGTCTTATTTTCGGGGGATGTCTTACTGTAGGGGAAACACGGTACCTATATGCTGATTTCCGCCTATACTCCTGAGCTACAACCCATATAGCCCTATTTGATATTTCTACTGGGATGCTCCATTGGTCCATCAAGCTCAAGATATTTAAAACTATATTATTTTATTACACCACACATCTTTCATACATTGTAGTACTGTGAATTACTTAATATGGTCCTTTTAACCATAGTCTTGGTAACTCTCATCAAAGACTGGGTAGGATTATGCACATGTGAAATGTTTGTGGCCTACCCAGGGAACCGGATCACTTTCTCATAATGTAAATAAGATACATGGAGCCTTTTGGATGGGCAAATAAGGTGTCTGGAACTCTAATAAGAATATTGGGCAATTTTGTCATCCTGCTAGTTTTAAAAGGTGTCATCCCTGCAGGAGAAAGGGGAATCTTACTGACATCAAGAAAGAAGGACCAAAAGCAGAGAGCAACCTGAAACAGCTGTGTTGAACCTCCCAGATCCAGAGGTGATACTGCAGCTGGCAAGCAGTGCCAGCAGAACCTGGGACCTGAGAAGACTGGGGGCTTCAGGCTGAATTTAGCCTTCAGGCAGCAGGCTTGTGGAAGAATGGAGTGCTCTGAAGCACATAGTTGACTGAGCTAAAAGGGCTTTGAAACACATGCCTAAGGGCAGAAGCCAAAGGGCCAGTGGCTGAGAGGAAGCCAAAAGCAGGAGAGGTATGCCTGTGGGAATGGCTAAACCGCTGTCCTGACCAAAGAACTGTATCCCAAGTTTTGGATGCTGAAGTGTAACTCTTGCAGGTTCAAATAAATGACAGCCACTTACAGTGTCTTGATAATTTAGAAGAGTCTTTATTCAGTTACAGCCGGACAGCTAGCATCTAAAAATGATTCTTTGATTGCAGTCCTGAATGGACATTTCAGTCCATTTTCAAGGGTAAAAAACTCATTTATTATTTGTCTAGGACTTAAGCAAGCATGGACAGAAGCAGAAAGCAAAACCATTGTTGTTATTTTTTAGAGTTGGTGAGTGTTACAGGGTACAGCATGGATTATAACATCCTGGTTAATAAAATAAAAACAGCAATATCCTGATTACAACATCAAATGGAACAATATTATTAATTAAAATGTTCTGGTCTCAAGAACATAAGAAATCTTTAGAATAAGATATTCTAAAATCAATCATCAAAAAGTAAATAACAATTTTAAAAAGTATCAATCACTAGTGGGCTTTTCTCAGATAGGAGGGGGAAGGAGGCAGGTCATTCAGCATTCAACAAGATGGTGTAACAGTGGCCAGTGCTAGTCTGCCTCATAACTAGTTAATGTCTCTAATACAAAGCAGTCATCATCATCTGTGATTTATGTGTGGTCACTGAAATGAATTATCAATCAGCAGGAAAGTAAAATGATGTGGGAAGGAAGGTTCATGTGAAAATTTGTGAAAAGTAAAGGTGTGTTTATTCTCTACATTATAGGGACTGGCCTTGGGTGAATGCTGATTCTTCTCCTGCTCCAAGCAATGTTAAAGGAGGTCAGATCTTGCTCCCATGACATTTTTACACACATTCCTTTCCCAGGAAATGTCACTATCCTATATCGAATTCCCCAAACAAAATATATACCAGTAGCCCCCAAATCCTCTTTCCCCCTAAACTCTCACAATTTATCACCAGACTGGATCAAATCTATGCTCTAAATAATGTCAATTTCTTTTCCCATTACAGGCAGTATCTACTTCCTCATTCTCTCCACTACTGCCCTCTCTGCTTGTCCAATTAATGGATTCTTTCTAGGCAAATATTACCAAAATGCAAAATGATAGTATAAAAAATCAATTAGATTTTAAAGAGAATTCCGTATTTCAATCTGAAGAATCATAGGATCTTGGCTGAAAGCAGAGAATACTAGAAAGATGTTTGTGTTTTACTGGCTACAAAAAGGCATTTGACTGTGTAAATCATACAAACTATGGATAGCCTTGAAAAGAATGGGAATTCCAGAACACTTCATTGTATTCATTCAGAACCTATACATGGACCAAAAGGGAATCACATAAACAGACCAAGGAAATACTGGGTGGTTTAAAATCAGGAAAGGTTATGTGTCAGTGTTATCCTTTGTATCATACTTATTTAATCTGTATGTTGAGCAAACAGTCAGAAAACCTGGACTATCTGAAGAAGAACACAGAGTCAGGATTAGAGAAAGGTTTATTAACAATCTCCAATTTACAGATGACATAACCTTGCTTGAAGGAGGACTTGAAGTACTTGCAGATGAAGGTCAAGGACTGAAGCTTTGAATATGGATTGGAACTCAATGTAAAGAAAACAAGAAGCTGCACAATTGG